TCTGTGGGGTGTAGTGTGTGTGTGTGTGTGTGTGTGTGTGTGTGTGTGTGTGTCATTGTGTGGTCAGATGTTCTCAGAACGACACCCAAACACAGGAAGTGTATGCAGGGCTGTGTAGCGCACGGCTGTGAAGGGCGTGCACATGTCATGCACATGTTTGTGAAAACACACTCAGACATTTGCTTTGAAGATGCTGAGGCTGAAACTTAAACTACAGTTTATGGTTCATCATACTTCTGCGAGGTATTTTTTTTGATTACGCCAACCTTTTCTCTGTGAAGTGATAAGATAATCGTGTAAAGTTTCACATGATGCTTTTGAGGAATATTTCAAAGTAGATATTTGAGGTTTTTAGGTGCAGCATGTGTACGAACGTCGCAACAAGAAAGAGTGTCTGTAAACTAGCGTTGGTGTATCGCTTGTTACTTTTTTCTGATATTTTCATTGAAAAAAAAAGATACTACTTGCATGTCGGTTCATGTAAATGCTAAGAAATATCGCAGAATGAGTTGAAATGGGAATGTTTTTCATAGTATTTCTAAAGTGTACAAAATCCAGTAAAATGTGTTTCTTCACTTTTGAGGAATGTTTCAGGGCACTTTGTAAGAGAACGTTCAGGGATTTTAAACGTAGCATGTGTACAAACGTCGCAGGAAAACATGTTTGTTTGACAGTATAAATCAAAACATTGTGTAAAATGTGCCGTGTTGGTTTACGTAAATTAAAAAAAATTAAAAATCAAAGATTGAGTTAAAATTGGTGCGTTATTTCTAAATATTTGTATGAAATTCATTAAGATTTCTTTCTTTACTTTTGAGGAATGTCTCTGGGCAATTTATTCAAAGTTTTCAGAAGTAGTGAACATCGTAAAAGGAAAGAGTGTTTGTTTGTAAACTAGTGTTTGTGTAGTGCAACTACAATAATCTAGTATGGTTATTTAATGAGTGGCTTTGGGTAACAGAAAAGAGCAATTTCTTTGTAAACTAGAGTTGGGATGCTTTTCTTACAAAAAGGTTTTTAAAAATCTGTTTGATCTTTATGGTTTTTAGGAGTAGAATGTTTACGAACATCGTAACAGTGTTTGTAAACTATATTGGTGTAATGCTAACAAATGTTTCGTGTTTTTTGGGGGAGAGGGCATTGTAATAAACAGTTTTGGGGAAAGTTACTTTTAAAAGTAATGCATTACAATATTGCGTTACTCCATAAAAAAGTAACTAATTACGTTACTTAGTTACTTTTTATGGAAAGTAATGTGTTACGTTACTTTTGCGTTACTTTTTAAATCTGGACAGGGCTTGCTTGTTTGTTTTTAAAATAAAAAAGTTCTAATTTTGACAAATATAAAAGCACCAAAATTTAATTGAATAAGCCTCAGGCATCTTCTGATTTCTCTCAACATGGGGACAGGAGAGCTGTCAATCAATAAATTGGAAAAAAAGAAAGTAACTTGTGTTACTTATTTGAATAAGTAACTCAGATATTCTCTTGTAAATTAAAAAGTAATGCGTTACTTTACTAGTTACTTGAAAAAAAGTAATCTGATTACTTTTCAGGTTACTTGTAATGCGTTATCCCCAACACTGGTAATAAAATGTTTCATGTTGGTTTATGTAAATGCTAAGAAATATCGCAAAATGAGTTGAAAGGCAAACGTTTTTCATAGTATTTATAAAGTGTACGGAGTCCAGTAATGTGTCTTTCTTTACCTTTGAGGAATGTTTCAGGTCACTTTGTTAGATGTTCAAGGTTTTTAGATTTAGTAGTAGAAAAGCGTGTTAGTTTGTTGGTTTGACAGAATAAAAAAAAAATTTGTGTAAAATGTGCCATTTTGGTTTGAGTAAATTCTAAAAAAAATTATCGATTGAGTTAAAATTGGTACTTTTTTTCCTAAATATTTTTATAAAAATTCAGTACGATTTCTTTCTTCAATTTTGAGGACCATTTCTGGGCAATTTATTCAAAGTGTTTAGAAGTAGCATGTGTGCGAACAATGTAAATGGAAAGAGTGTTTGCTTGTAAACTAGTGTTTGTGTAGTGCAACTTCAATAATCTAGTATGGTTACTTAAGAGTGCCTTAAGGTAGCAGAAAAGAGCAATTTCTTTGTAAACTAATGTTTGGATATGTAAAATCGTTTTGATATTTTATTTATAGTTTTTAGATGTAGCATGTGTACAAACATTGTAACAGAAAAGACTGTTTGTAAACTTGTGTTGGTGTAATGCTATCTTTTTTGTTGGGAAAAAATATTATGTGTAAAATGTTTATTCTATAAAATATCGCAAAATTTAGGGAAATCAAGTTTGAATTTGAAATGTTTAGGTTACAGGGTACTTTGTTATAAAACATTTAAGGTTTTTAGTAGTAATAAACATCGTAACAGCAAATGCATTGTGTGTTTGTAAACTAGTGTTTGCTCATCGCAAACTTACTTTCAGATTGTGTAAAATGTACCTTGTTCATTTACATATTGTAAATAACTTATGTTGAAATTGTTTTTTTTTTTTTTTCAATATTTCTAAACTGTACGATAACTAAGACTTTTGAAAAGAGTGCCATGTGTTCAAACCGAAGATAACAGGAAAGAACAATTGTTTGTGAACTATTGTATATGTAGTGGTCACTGTCTCCAATGTTTTCACTGATAAAAAAATCGTAATAAAGTTCATGAAGATTACCAATTGTAATTGTTCTGTAATGTCAAATGTGCCTTGTTGGTTTACGTAAATGCCACAGCAGTAGTGATTCAGATTTTTACAAATGGATGGATCTGTTCTGAATCTAATGTGTTTCCAGATCGCCGAGCAAGCCTCTGGTCAGGAGACTGATGAGTGGCTTGGACTGGGAGACCGTCAGCAGGAATTCCCTCTCAGACGACCGACTGGAGACTCAGAGTCTGCCGAACCGTTCTCCCCCAGACTCGCCCGATCAGTGAGTTAACACACACAAACTTACCCACGTATGCAAGTTCATCCAGTCATTGGGTTAGGGCTCCATTTATGGTTTAATTTCTTTCTTTCCTCATCAGTAACTCGGTGTTTACCACAGACGGGGCGCGGATCAGGCCGTCCTCCATTGGTCACTTAGTCGATCATGTGATCGATGACTCGCCGTGCCAGACGTTCACCAATCACAAGTCTGCGTCTTCCACGCAGGCCAACAGCATCAGCCTGGACTCGACACCGTGAGTTTTGAACTTTTTGCCAATATAAGCGAAACTGTGCTCATTATCACTCTTAAATAACTCGGGAAAGAAACAATCACAATTCAGTATGGAAATATGACAATAACATAATTGCTAGGTTTGTGATATTTTTGAATGCTGAACATTCTTACAGTAAAATTTGTAACTTTTAAAAGTTGGTACTACTAACAATTCTTTATTTATTATTATAATTTTTTTTTATGATTAATTGAAAAGAAAAGCTAATTTTATCGCCAGTATTTCTTGTACATGTGTAAAATTGAAAGCTGTAAAGCAAAAAATGTACGTTTACACAAAAAGGTTTAAAATATATTTATTTCTATAGATTTTATTGCTTAGTATTTGCTGCCCTAATATTTTGTTAATCAAAAAAAAAAAACATGTGCGTAAACTATTGAATGCAGTTTAATGCGTAACTTTAGTATGTTTTACCTGTTGTAAATAAAAAAAAATTAAAATATACACTATACATTTTGTGCAAAAAATGTTTAAAATATAAATGTTACAATGTAAGTGTAAAAACAATCAATATTTACATACATTTTCAGTGGTTTAGTATTTGCAGCACTAACCTTTTGTTAATTATTCGTAAAAAAAAAAAATGCGGAAACGATTACATACAAAATGTTAATGTTACAATGTAAGTGTAAAAACAATTACAATTCATTTTCAGATTTCAGTTTACATTCAGATTTTCAATTTACATTCATTTTCAGATGTTTTCACTATAAAGTTTTAGCTATTTTATTGCTATTTGCAGCCCTAAAATTTTGTTAATAGTTTGCAAAATATTTGCAGATTGTATAAACTATTGCATTGAATTTAATGTGTACATTTATAGTTAATGCATAAAAATGTTTACATAAGACTTACATCTGTTTATCACAAACTTTCATCCTCTTCAATGTCTCATATAACTAAATTTTTTTTATCAACCAAACAAGTTGGGTTTCTTGGCCTCAGTGGTTACCATGGTGTTAGGCAGTGTGTTTCAGCCTATTGTGAAGATAAACCACATGAATGTTTCCCCCAGTGCAGCTAGTAAGCAAAATAATATGATGCTAAAACTCTTCTGTTTGTCTTCCACGTTGTATTAATGTTTGCTTATGTGTTTCTTGTAAAAATTCTTTGTTTAATAGATCACTTATCTATTACTACTTTCATCCTGTTGTGTACAGTTGGACAATTTAAATATTTGTATTCAAAGACCACATAATTCTAGATTTTGATTTTTTTCAGCACACAAGGGCTGGACTGACACACTTTGAGTCATCAAAGTTTCCGCTGCAAAATGTTGTTCTTTTTTTAGCACCACACAGTAGACGCACACTCTCGCTGGCAACCTGAGATTTAATATCGTGTGACCACACACCTCTGACGAAATGACACGTTCATGTTTCAACGCTGTTTTCACACACATTTCAGTTTAAGAAACTGCGAGCGTTTGAACTAGGGGAAATGGCTTTCTGCTTTGCAGTGGGCACAGTGCAGTGTGTTACGGTGGCACAACTGACTGAATTCACACCGGTGAACCCAGCACCATTTTCCATTGGAATAATCTGTGACCACGCATTTCCTTTCTCAGATCGTACCATCTCATTTCACAATGTCAGAATTTCCAAATCTAGGCTGTCCAGTTCACTTTCGGTTCATCGTGTGCGTCGTTCACACTTTGATGTGGAGTTCTCATGTTCTACATAAAGATTAGAGTGTTAAAGAAAGAGTCTTGCTTCTTATCTCTTTTTTGACCTGATTGTGAAAAGAAATGGCTGTGCTTGCAAGGTGAAATGTGGTAGACTAATCACAGTTCAGTTCAAAATTCACTAGATGTAAGCAAGAATAGCCTAATCAAAATTCAGCATGTAACTAATTGGAAGAAAGTAAGGTCCAATCACAATTCAGTATGCAAATATGACAATGATATCATTGCTAGATTGTTAGATTTTTAAAAGCTGAACACTCTTTCAGTGTAGGAGTTTTAGACGTTTGCTACTTTTAAAAGTTAGTACTGCCGACAACTGTTTAGATTTTGTTTTAATGATTGTTTAAAATGGCTAATTTTATTTCCAGCATTTTCTTCTTGTACAATGTGCAAAATTGGAAAACAAAATGTTTGCGCAAATTATCACATTAACATTACTTCTTAAGTTTAGAGTTTATGCGTAAAAAAGTTTTATTTTGATCACCTAGTAAGTGTAGTCCTGTAGTTTAGTTAATCATTTGTGAAAAAACGTTTGCGCAAACTGTCGTATTCAAATTAGTGCACACGTTTATAGTTTAGTGTTGTCACGGTACCAAAATTTCAGTATTCGGTACCAATACCAGTGAAAATCCACGGTTCTCGGAACCAATTTCGGTACCAAAGCAAAACACAAAAACATGCTAATTAAAAAATTTGACTATACTTTCATTTAATCCAAACTGTGTACATATTATTTTTAAAGGGCTTTTAAAACCTTCTAGAGTTATTCAACATTACTACAACTGTAACTAAAATAGATAACTAATACAAATCAAAGTACATTAGTTCATCAGTAATCCTAAAAAAATAACACTGAGGCAAACACACATGCTAAAATAACAACAACTTACTGACACATAGTAAGAAATAGTTTATAAAAAACTGAAACAGAAGTGGAAAGAGGAGAGATAAAAAGCGATACTTATGTCCTTTGCCGGTGTCCCTGCCCGGACTGTTACTACTCTAATAACAGCGATGTTCATTTCAATCTGACATTTAAATTAAAATATTGAATAATATTCATAACAGAAGTGGTGTTTCCCACAGACTTGCACTCTATTTGTGGTGGCATATATATGCTAATTCATTCTCTGCCAGTAGGAGGCGCTTGTAGAGCGTGAGAGATCAGGTTTCCCCGGTAAGGGCTGTAATCAAATAAGCGCTGCACTCACAAACGCTGTTCAGGCATTACAGGCAAGATGAAATGAAAATGACATCCATCATTTTCTGAAGACAGTCGGTTTCCTTCAGAAATACAGTGATATATAAACACTCGCACCGGGTTTCGACTTTGACACGTGCAGTGCTCATGTTTATTCAACGAAGTCAAAGCCTTTTGGAAAATCTATTTATAGCGGTTTTGATATTATGGCGGGCGCCACAAATAAATCAATGTATGGGAAACACTGAGAAGATCTAAATATAAAAAATGTAAATGAAATTTACCTGCTTGAACTCTTTCATTTGATCTGGGTGTCTGTCTTTAAAGTGTTTTGTTAGTTTGATTAAGCCACTTCTCAGTGCTTTTATGAAGAGAGCGCATCTGCGCACCTTTCGGATAGCGCATCAAGAACCGGGTTGACCGGGTACTCTGTACCACCGGTACTTAAAAAAACCTGGTACCGTAACGTTTTAATTTTTTTAGTACCGACTTGGTACCGAAGTACCTGGTCTTTTGACAACACTAATTTAGTGTAAGAATGCTTCAATTAATCAATAGTGACATTTATTGTCAGTTTGCATTATTTTTTTATTTATTTGCAATACCTAGTTATTGGAGTCCTGTAGGTTAGTTAATCATTCGTAAAAACATGTTTGCGCAAAATTTCATTTTAAAATAATTTGTAAAGGCCCGTTCACACCAAGAACGATAACTATAAAGATAACGATATTAGCGTCCACACCAGCAAACGATATCGTCCGTTTATTCTAAGCGCACACTCGTCTGCCGCTTTAAATTCTCCAGCTCGATATAGCAGGATTGATTCTGATTGGCTGTCAATGTTTTTATCATTCATCAGCTGGAAAAAATCGTTCTGAAAGTGATTCCAATAATATCGTTT